GTTAGCTATCAAATAGAGCGCAGACAACGACCGAAAGAGCTAATTGATAAATTTTCCAGGTTGTCCGCCGGTAATTTCTCTCGAAGTCTTGGCCAATGCCTTAGCGCTTCGTGCAGCGGCTGAGTGCATCTTGATCCGCTTTTAAAACGCCTCAATGCGTTACTAGAAGCGCTCTAATCCCGTGGATGAATAACATAGGTAGATAACCTCGTCATCCGGGCAGTTGATTAGGGCGGTCGTCAACGGGCCGCAGCGCGTGCCAGGAACTATTTGCTTTTTCCAGGCTAATTTAGTCATTTTTCCAACTTTTCACTGTTTTGGCTACTTTTCCCAAGATTAGCAGCTCCTTATCTTCACAAGGTGGAAAAAATGACTAAAATTAGCCTGGAAAAAGCAAATAGTTCCTGGCACGCGCTGCGGCCCGTTGACGACGGCCCTAATCAACTGCCCGGATGACGAGGTTACTACGAACCAACAATGTATGGACATTTCTTATTGTAAAAGATGGTCGGGTCTGAGTCACTCATTGCGCTGGGTCGCGTCTGAATCACTTATTACGCCGAGAATTCCCCTGTACATAGCTTTCCCCGCAGACGCTGGACGAGGCAGCCCAGAGGGTGGGACTGGCGCGGCACCAGCCCGTTTTCCACCAACTGTTGCCGCTTGCCCGCTTCAACAATCAGTGGAGGAGCGGGCTGGAGCCACGTCAAACCCTGTCCCCAGGAACACCGCAGCGTCTGTAGCGAAAACGGCTGTACCTTCTTCTCAGCTTGCAGTAAACATCATTACGTGAAACTAGTAGGAAACATGTCAACTTTATAACCCAATGATTTGAAAACTACATTTTTATTAAAACAAGCATTCAGGACAATTGATAAAAATGACTATCAACTAAACATAAAGCCTGAATATCACGCAGACAACACTACAATCATGCAGAATATTACTTATACAGGTATTATTAGGACAAAGTCAATGAAATCGACGCTACTCGTCAACTTCCGTTCACCGCAGTAGCCCCTATCACCCAAAGAAACGAAGCATTGATATTCGAACCAGACTTCAAAGTTCACAACTGCGTTTCAAGTCTGCCGCTTCGCGACCGCGCGCATTCCAGGTACACCTTTCTCAAGTTGCTGCAAATTTTCATAAAAAATTCATTTAACTGATTTCAGATCCTATTGGTTCGAATATCAAAATGTCCCATTTGTCATCCCAAACTTTACAAAGTAGCAACACTGCAAAGAAAATACCACTTTGAACAACATAGAAACCTCAACGGCAGGCAGGATTACTAGAAGTAGTGAGATTACAAAATTTGCGCTAGTGCTTTTCAAGTGAACTGAAACTTAAAATCACCGTGAGTCTCTCTATTGTGGTTCACTGTATTGAGTAACCCATCACAGAACAACTGCGGCTGCGGTTCAGGAGATCTGCGTTGCGGCGGCGCGGCATTCGCACCAAAACCTGATTGCTCTAACGCGTGAAAGCTGCAGTGTGTTGACTCAACTATCGAGGAATTACTAGCTGATATTTGCGCGTCGTCACAACGTGGATGAGGCCCCACCCTTCAAATGGGCGGACTGACAAGACAACCGTAACTTACCGCGCCGTCGTGCGCGCGCATCGTGCGGCGGTGCGCGACTAAGTCTCACTATGCATAAAATCCCCGCTTGAAGCAGCGGAACTCGTATGAATTCTAGCAAAGGCAAAACTCCATGGCTACTGAAATCAATCTTTCCTGTCCCTTCAACTTTCAAACTCAAACATCCGGGCAGGACAACTCGTCCCTCGCGCGCGCGGCATCGCTCGCCTTGCCCAGCGCTGTATGCTGCGATTGTCTTGTCTCCTACCTCTATGAATGAGTGACCCGGGAAGCGTAACGTTACACTC